GTTGTTTTTCAATACTGGGACTTGAACTCAGGGCCTCATGCTCTTGTTTAGTTTTTCCACTCAAGGTTGTCACTCTACTTCAGCCACACATTCATTCCTGGCTTTTTACTGGTAAATGGAAGTAAGAGTCTCTTGACTCTTACTCTTACGGGCTGGCTATGAATCTTCCTCCTAAGATCTCAGCTTCCTGTGTAGCTAGGATTATAGGTGTGAGCCACTGGTACCAGGTGAGTCTTATCTATTTTATCCTTTTATTTCCTTCACTGGCTGGTAGCAGAGCCAAATGAGAACAGCACAGATTTTGGAGTTATTTAAGTCTGAATTCAAGGTCTAGTTCCACTTTACATTGGCTAAGTAATAGCAGATATATGATAGTTGGCTCTATGACCTTTTTTTTTTCTCTTCTCTGCCAGTACTAGGGCTTAAACTCAGGGCCTGGGTGTGCTTGCGCTCTCTCTCTCTCTCTCTCTCTCTCTCTCTCTCTCCCTCCCCCTTGGTCAGTCGTGGGGCTTGAACTCTGAGCCTGGGCACTGTCCCTGTGCTTTTCAGCTCAAGGTGAGTGCTCTACCACTTGAGCCACAGCACCATTTCTGGTTTTCTAGTGGTTTATTGGAGATAGGAGTCTCATGGACTTTCCTGCTTTGGCTGGCTTTGAACTGTGATCCTCAGATCTCAGCCTCCTGAGTAGCTAGGATTACAAGCATGAGCCACCGGCGCCCGGCTGGGTGCTGTCTCTTGAGCTTTGTTACTCAAGGCTATTGCTCTACCACTTGAGCCATAGCTTCACTTCCTGGCTTTTTGGTGGCTAAGTGGAGATAAGAGTCTCAGAGATTTTCCAGCCAAGGCTAGGCTTCTAACTGTGATCTTCAGATTTCTGCCTTCCGAGTAGCTAGGAATACAGGTGTGCGCTGCTGAAGCCCAGCTCTGTGAGCTTTGAAGCCATTTTTAAAAGTTGGTATTTTTCATTTTTTAAAATCCTCATTCCATCTTTTTCCAATAATGCAGTTTTCTCAAGTGACTCAGTGGGGAACAGGGTTGTTTTTGGATAAGTGTCAATCTTTTCCATCATGGGGCCTCACTGGAGAGATGACGAATATTTGAACCAGGCATAGCCATTCTAGGCACCTTAGAAGTCCCACTGAGAGCAGGCAAGTCTTTGCCTGACTGTACCTGGCCTCCAAGTTGAAAGTTCCCATTGTAATTACCAGGAAAGATGGCTACCTACACTTAAATCCTATTTCTTTCCTGAAAGATGTTAGAACCAAGTTAGAAACCAAATATTATTTTCATACCCATTATCTTTAATCTCCATTTCCAAGTGCTTTGCTATAGGTATGGTCACACTAGTTCTATGGAGGGACAAAAGGAGTAACTTGGAGAAAGTGTTCCAACTAGTAGGTTGTGGACTTTAGCTTGGCTGTGGGATGGGATACCCTCTTCCATCACTGAATCCACATGGATGGCAGTACACGCCCAGGAGTCAGATCTACAATTTAATTCCTTCAGTGGATGCTGTATAGAAATGCCTATTAGAAAATAGGACATTCAGGTTCCAAACTCTTTTTTAAGCTTGTTTACAGACTTGAAAATTGATTGGGATCACCTGCCAGATTTATTTTTAAAGTGTCAATACCTGGTACGTGAGTACCACCTTCAGTGAATCAAATCACAGTAGGTCTGTTTGTAACACAGAGTCAGGGCCAAGATCCACTTTATCCTCTGGCCTCTCTGTGCCTTCGGAGTCAGCAGTTGGCTGCTGTCCCCAGGTACCAGCTTCTAATCCTGTGACTGGCTCAAAACCTGGAAACCTCTAGTCTTGAGGCAGAAGATACATTATTTTGGCAAGTGATCCTCCTCAAACAGGTAAGTTGCTGCTTCTATATCTTTAAAATTATCTTTACAATGCATAAAATTGTATTTAATTCATTGAGGGGTGGGGAGGAGAGGGAACTGGAGCAATGGACATGGTTTGAAGTCAATTAAAATGATATAAAATCTGTATAAATGTGATTGGAAGTGTAGCTCCAGGGGTAGAGTACCATGAGCAAAAAAAAAACATATAAAAATCTTTCCAATTTATATCTCAAAAACGTTCAGATACCAAAGATTCTCTGAAATGTGTATGCTGTGTCACATTTTCACATAGCAGTACTGGCTCTCTCTTTGATCACCTTTGAGTATCTTCTGTTTGGAAGACAACTGCCAGCGGGAATGTAAGAAAATTAAAAAAAATATGTACTTTAGCTTTAAAAGCTTTAAACTTTCCTCTCCCTCCTCCCCACCCTCAAGTCCTCAAAATTGGTTTAGTTCCATAGTGGAACCAAGTAATATTGTATCATTAAAGCATCATTAAGTCAAAGTGAAAAATAGGACAATATGTTGGTAAGCTACTTGGCGGAGTTGGTTTGAGGATAAAAAGAATCTATGAGACATATGTTGAGTTCCTAAGAAGAAAAACCTCAATACACACTGTGCCTATCATTAAAATATTTTAAGTTCCCTATAAAAATAACATATTATTTCTCAAATTACAGAGGCCTCTGACAGCAAAGGGGAAAATGATTGTTCTTTCCAAAACAGAATTATTTTTCCATTATTTGTGAACCTATCCACTTTGAAAGCCTTCAGTAGTTTCCATAACTTTTAAGATTGTGTAAAGGAAAATGCTTAGGATGTATTTTACAATTAGACTTGATCAGATGTCAGTTTTCTGTTATCTATCTATCTATCTATCTATCTATCTATCTATCTATCTATCTATCTATCTATCTATCTATCTATCTATCTATCTTTGGTGCTATTCAAAATCCCATGCTTTCTAGCAGGTACTCTACCACTGAGCCATACCTCCAGAACTGCTTTTACTGGTTATTTTTGAGATAGGGGCTTACTTCCTACCTGGCTCATGCTAGGACAGTGATCTGCCTATTTAGTTTTCCCATTGTTGCTAGGATGACAGGCACATGTCACTGTACTCTGATTCCCTCCACTGAGATGGAATCTCTTGGATTTTCCTGCCCAGGGCTGCCTTAGAACCACAATCTGCCCAATCTCAGTCTTTTATGTAGTTTGATGACAGGAATATGCCATTGGATCCTCAGGTATGGGTTGAGAAGAGGTCTTGAGAACTTTCTGCCAAGGCTGGCCTTAAACAGTGATCTTTCTGTTCTTGGCCTCCCAACTAACTCAAATTACAGGCATGAGCCACAGGCACCCAGCTAAATCCTTACAATTTTTTAAACAATTTTTTTAAAGTAGAAAAAATGCTCTTATCAATTAAATTGAAAAGTTATTTTGTGGGAGTGACAGCCAATTTGGTAAATAGGTAACCGTAAGCGTTAGTACCTGACTTTGCATAGTGGATTCTAATTTGCAGAATATTCATGAATAATATATTCCCATGTTTCCATGTTCCCTGTGAGGTTGGGGCCAAATCAAGTCTGTAGGGGACAGAAACAGCTGGAATTTAGTGTCTCCAAGACGTTTCACTTTAAATCCTCTGCTCTGTAGAAATTATGAGGCAGTTAAGTGTGGACCCTATGACTGCCCAGGTTTCAAATCTAGATTTTGTTCCTTATATAGTACTGCCAGTTGTTTAAATGGAGGTAATAAAAGTACTTGCATCTCATAGGATTATGGAAAAGGTAGAAAATGAAGAGGCACATAGTTGTGTGAAATAGATTTTTTTCTCCTTTTGCTTGATGTTATTTCTTTTGAAAGGAAAGGTAGATAGGAAGGAAAACTATCTAAAAATGGACTGTTTTGATGATCAGTCTGTAACAAGAAATCAGATCTAAGTGTCTTCCTCTAACACTGAGATGGAAACTATTCGTATTCTTAACAACAGAAGTTTCCAGATCTACCTGGGCCTGGTTCCAACCAGTTGGACTAGTTTGCAGGCACTAGGACTAGGTGACCTCCTTAAACTGGCAGAGTCATGTCGAATGACACAAACATATCACCCAAGAAGCGTTCTATTCATTTCTCTTGGGTTGAGGAAGCTTTAGTGTGAGGGTAGACTCATCTGCTCATGTGTCATGGGCTCAGCTCAGGGCTTCCAACCCATTTCTTGCAGGCCTGTTTATTTATTTATTTATTTAACCAGGTGAGTCTGCCCAGCCAGTCTTCATCTGTCCAGATGACAGGTCAATGAGCCAGGCCTCAAGGGGGCTGCAACATTATAACTCTGGCTGAGCTTATATGATCATCTGACTCCATGACAGGGCATTAAGAAGCCCAACAAGCCAGAAAAAGAAAATCAAAACCCAATCATGCAACACCCACAGGAGGATAATTTCCTTCTATTTCAGAGACGAAAACTGAAACAGCTGTTCCTTCCTAGGATGAACAACCAACAGAAATGCACGTAGGAACCTGGGGCATGCTGGAGCTAAAAGTCACTCAGCCAGAGAGAATTATTGCCTTGAAAGTCATAGTTAAACTTTTTTCCTTTTCTTCCTTCATCATGAATAGTATGCATTAGTGCCCATTACATTTTTTTTTCTCCAAAATAAGATTTAAAATGGAAAGCAATTGAACCCCATTAGGCAGTTTAGGCTTTAGGTTGACATAGGAAGGACTGGGTTTTGTGGCTCAGTGGGTGCAGGATTGGAAAGGTGCTTTGAAGTTTAGCTTTGTGGCCTGCACTTTGGGTCAAAACTGAGTCAGCTGAAGCAGGACAGCAAGGAAGGCAGTAAGTATACTCAGAGGTTCAGAAGGATATGAAATATAATATAAGCCAAAGTAGAACAGGGCTTGCGCCCTGCAGGACATTGTCTTACTGATTTTTACCTAAGGGGCCTGGTTCACCAGTTGATGAACTCACTGAGAAATCATGATGGTCTCTGTCTGCCTAGAAAGTCTGTTTTCTGTTTGCCTCAAAACTCTCAGGATCTTAAAAAGTTGTGCTTTTTTTTTTTTTTTGAGGGGGTAGAATAGGCCAGTCTAAACAGGCAATCCAGCTTGAAAGGTTGGATAAGCAGTAGGTTCTTGAGACTTACCCGTACTACATAGTTGAACCTTCTGGAATCCAGAATGGCAGTGGAGAAGTCCAATCTGTTGAAAGCTTCCCCCAAAGTACAATATCCATGGCGCTAGACGGGAGACAGAAGCATGGAAGTTATTCCTTCCAAATGAAGTCATTCTCTAGAATAATCCAACTTAACCAGTGGATGGGCTTGATGCTTCTCTTAGGGGGTCCAGGCACTGACTGAGATCCTGGATGCCATTGAGAAGGGCAGAAAAGTGAGCAGCTGTTTTAGTGTGGGACTAATATGTGGAACACCGCTTTTTCTGTCTGGTACTACCTGGGGTCTTGTGGGAAAACATTTCTAGAAGTGAGATAGATGATGTATAAGATTTTGATGATTGGTAGTAGCTGTGGAATCCTCCTGGGAGGAGGAGATATGCTTGCCTCTCACTGATGATACTTAAAAAATTAGATTTCTCCTATCTTTTAGTAGTTGTACAAAGGAGTTACCATTCAACAAATCAGTTTGTAACTATAATGCATCTTGCTCATATCACCCCTTTTTTGTCATTATCTCTCATCCTTCCCAACCCAAGCCTTTCCTTCAAGTTTCCTAGTTTCATTGGATATACATTGAATACCAATAGCCCCCCTTTTTTTTGGTTAGTTCTGGGGCTTGAACTCAGGGCCTGGGTGCTGTCCCTGAGCTTTTGCACTCAAGGCTAGCACTCTACCATTTTGAGCCACAGCTCCATTTCCAGTTTTCTGGTGGTTAATTGGAGATAAGAGTCTCACAGAATTTCCCGCCCCAGCTGGCTTTGAACCATGATCCTCAGATCTCAGCCTCCTGAGTAGCTAGGATTACTGGTCTGAGCCACCAGTGCCTGGCCTCATGGCATTTTAAAAAAAACTTTATCAGCCAAGTACTGTTGGTTTACACCTGTAATCATAACTATACAAATGTCTGAGATTTGGGGAATAGCAGTTGAAAACCAGCTCAGGCCTATCTCCAATTAACCACCAAATATCTGAAAGTGGAATTGTAGCTCAAGTGGCTGAGCATTATCCCTGGAACAAAAATACTAAGGGACAGCACCCAGGTCTTAAGTTCAAGCCCCAGTTTCAGCGCAAAAGAAACAAAGGAACAAAGAGGGGAAGAAAGAAATAAAAAGAAAAAAGGAGAAAGAAAGGCTTCATGAGGTAGCAAAAGAAGTCTTGATGCTTTACCTTTACACATGAAATGAGTCCCCTAATTATTCCCCTGGAATTATGGCTTCAAGTTCTAGCTGCTCTAAGGTTCTAGGTGGTCTAGCTTTTCTAATCATTGAACTCTCTATCTCAAATCACAGAGGGAGGTAACTAGATGTTCCACCCAAGATTATAGAAAGTGACAGTGGTAGAAATCCTGGCATTTTAGCATATTCCTTTGTATCCTAGGTATCCGAACAAAAGCTCTGTACAGAGAAAATATACATAATGGGGGTTATATGAAATGATACCAAGTATAGTTATTATAAGGTCTTGTGCCCTCTACATCACAGGAGCAGACACTTAAAAACTTCTAGATTTAGTGATTGGCCTTTCCAGGGCTAAACATTAACCAAGCTTAAGTCTGAAGAGATCTTAGCACAAAAGGGAGACAGTGCCTAAATAAAAATCTAGGGCTTCATAATAATACAGATATGATTGCCATATTAAGCTTGACAAGAATTTTTATTTTTGTGCCAGTCCTGGAGCTTGAACTCGGGGCTTAGGGCTCTGTCTTTGATCTTTTGCTCAAAGCTATCCCTCTACCACTTGAGGCATGTATCCACTTCCAGCTTTTTGCTGGTTCATTGGAAATAAGAGTCTTATAGACTTTCTTGCCTGGGCTGTCAGAAGTGCTCAGATCTCAGCCCCCTGAATAGCTAGGATTACCACTGGTGCCTGGTTGAATAAAGCACTTTTATGAACATTCTATCACTAGATGACTGAGGAGTTCAAGTGGCTTTTTTACTTCTTTCTTTCTTTGTAGCTCCTAAACTCTGATGATTGACTAGGCATAGGTTGCTAGCTGCTCACCATCCTGCTTCCCAGCACTCAAGGCAGCCAGGATTGGAAGTAACATCATTGCTCAATTCCCTCTCTTCTACCCTCCCTCCCCCTCCACGCCTTTAGGGAGGAATAAGGTGTTTTTTTTTTTTTTTTGTCGGTTGTGGGGCTTGAACTCTGGGCCTGGGTGCTTTCCCTGCGCTCTTCAGCTCAAGGCGAGCGCTCTACAGCACCACGTCTGGTTTTCTAGTGATTTATTGGAGATAAGAGTCTCATGGAGTTTCCTACCCTGGCTGGCTTTGAACCGTGATCCTCAGAACTCAGCCTCCTGAGTAGCTAGGATTATAGGCATGAACCACCCTGCCAGCTAGGGAGGAATAAGTTTAAGCAGAATGGTTTAATTAATGGATGAGTACTCACCTCTTTTGTACTTCCTTTATGAACATAGATCCATTTTTCTTGGTGGAAATCTACAGACACCCAAAATAAAAAAAAATGATACACATCTTAATAAATTATAACATGCCTAGATTTTAAACATGACTCTTTCACTTGTACAAAGTTAAGGAAAGTGTTTGCTACTTATTTTTTAAATTCAAAATTGGGTCTTTAAATTTAAAACGGAACCCAAGCTGGCCTCCACTAGAAGCCCACCAGCCTCAGTCTCTTGTAGTCATGCACAGCCACTTCCAGCTAAAGAGTTTTGACCAAAATGACAAGATTCTACTGACAAATCTAGGAGGATGGAAATATTTAATTTCTTCCTTCCTTTCTCTCCCTTCATCCCTTTCTTCCTTCCTTCCCTTCCTTTTTCCTTTCGCTCTCCTTTTACCTCTTTTTCCCTGACCCCACCTCCCTTCCTCCCTGGGTCCCTCTCTCCCTCTCCCTCTCCCCCCTTCCTGCTAGTGGCAATTGAACCAGGGCTTTATACTTCTTATTCTAGCACTTTACCATTTGAGCCATGATCTCATGTTCCAATGCCTAATTTCTGTAATGTATCAATACTGGAGCTATAACTTGCATTGTTTGAAGCATTCTGGATTTTTGACTTAGTATATAAAAATTCAAATTAAAAAATCTAATATTGAATGAGGTATCTTTGTTTTAAATGCCATACTTAAAATTTATCCAAGGCCATAAAAAGTAGAGATAAAACTAATAACATGAGGAAACCATGCAGTATAATTAGATTAAACTAATCTTTATTACATTCTTAAGAATGGCACTTTAGGTCCTCTTCTAATACAGCAAACATCTAGACATGTTAATAATATTTCTATAAGGAAAGAAGAACAAAATGGTTTCCAGTCTCTAAACACTGTTCTAAATAAAAACACATGGTGGGATCAAATCAGCTGACTATATCACTGTATAATGACTATATTACCTATGTCCAATCCAAGGAACAAATAGTAAAAAAGTACCCCAATAAGCAAATGGCTTATGAACAAGACTGTCAATAACTCATCAATATTGCTTGTAAAATACACAGCTTTCTGGGTGTAAACATCTCAGTATCAACTGGGTGCCAGTGGCTCACACCTGTAATCCTAACTACTCAGGTATCTGAAATCTAAGGATTGAGGTTCAAATCTAGCCCAGGCAGGAAAGTCTGTGAGACTCTCATCTCCAATTAACCACTAAAAAGCTGGACGGTGAGCTGTGGCTCAAGGAGTAGAGTACCAGACTTAAGTGAAAAAAACTTAAGAGTTGCACGTAGGCTCCAAATTCAAGACCCAGTACTCATATAAAAAAAATCCCAGTATTTCTGCAAGTGACAGAGTAAACACTAAAGCAGCAAGTGTGATTTTTTTTTAAAAAGAAGAACAATAATAATGATCTTCAAATAGGTTCTCAAGTTCAAGGGTAATGGCTTACATTGAGTTTTGGTTTTGCTATTCTGTATGTCCTTCTTTCTCTTCTTGGCAGCAACATCATAGTTGAGGCTGTTGAAGAGGTTCTCCTTGTTATATACCTCCTTGTTGCAGTAACTATAATAACATAAAACACAGGGTGAGTTGGAACTCTACTATTTAATATGGGCCGTTTCTATAAATAACTTACTAGGTTATAAAACACACAAACAAATACACTTCCCAAACATAAAAAATCCCAATAAATAATCTCTCAAAAACAAGTCCCGATTGGCACAGACTGATCTCGTTTAGGATGAAATATTAGGGGTGGAGGCTCCTACCTCTTTGAATTCCTTAACAGGGTCTGCCATTGTAGTTTGATAACTAGCAATAGTCTTTGTCTAAGAGAAACACAGGGCACTACTGGGTTACTTTTAACTGGTGTTAAGTCGGAGGGGCCGATTCCTGCTGTCACTGTACCACACCATGTCTTCATTCTCCAGAAGCATCCAATCGAAGCTCCCCTTCCTCGCCTTTCTCCTTCTCTAATAGCTCTACTGAGAAATAACTCACTCATTTAAAGTTTACCAAACAAGCAAAAAAAATCATCAGGACTCTAGACATTCACACACAGTGAAACCAAAGAAGGATATTCTTAGGAGAGGAACACAAAGGCACAATGCCTATGTGCAGCTGATCATATACAATAATATTCATTGAAATGAACTCCAGGAAATGAAAACAAGAGGTTTTTTTCTTTGTTGTTGTTTTTGCTTTCTTTTTTTCTGCCTTTTTGTTTATCTGCCTTTGGGAGGGTAAGAAGTGGGCACAGACATGGAGGGACAACAGGCGAACAAATGCAGCAGTGGTACTCACTGCTATTCTATACTGTCCTACTTGCCTATACTATTCTTCTATTCTACTGTTCTATTCTGCTACACTGTTGAAAATGAATTATACAACTAGTGGGCGGGAATAGGAGGAAAAAACTGGGAGTGAGGGAAGGGTGACATTGTCCATAAAGAAATGTAATCATTATCTGATTTATGTAAATGTAACCCCTCTGTAGTCACCTTTATAATAACAATAAAAAAGCAAAAAAAATCATGTCTTTAAAACATGACCATAGCTGGGCATGGTGGTATCTATGTGTAATCTCAGCACTTGGGAAGCTAAGACAAAATGACCTGAAGTTTAGGGTTAGCCTGGACTACTCAGCACATTTCAGGGTAGACTGAGTTAATAGCATAATTCTGTTTCAAAAGACAAGACAAAACAAAACACTGAAATGAAACAAAAAAAAAACAAAAGAAATTTCCACATTCTACAGATGCTTAATATATACTACTAGCTGTTTAGATTCAAGACCTTGGGTCTTGATCAAAACAAAGGAAATTAATAATTTATAGATTTAGAAGGGATCAAAACATTGAGTGAACCTGTCCAATATACAGGTCATTAAGGATGGACAGATTCAGTCTGAGCCAGGCACATATTTCCCCCAGCAGGTGCAGGAATCATGGGAGTGAAGTGCTGGCCTCTCCCCTCTTGGCTCAAGTGTTTTATGTATCTAGAGATGGAATATGAAGGGTTGACCCCAACTTATTATCCAGTATAGGATATATAGACAGCAGGTTAAACCCCAGGTCGGCCTGCTTGACGTGCAGGTGAGGCAATCTGACCTAGGCTGTCAACATTCCATTGTGGGCCCAACCAAAAAGCCCCCCACCTCCCTAGACCTAATGGCTTTTTGATTAACCTCTGCCTCCTTGCTCAGACCCCCATGTAAGCCTGACCCCAAACCCACCCCTTTGTAAACCTCCATCCCTACAGGAAGGTTGTGCCCCTTGCTGGCAATGAACAGTCCTAGCCTGTTGAGAATGCAGTGTCCAGTCTATTTCTTTTTCCTTTCTCTTGCATTTTCCTATCAGGGAGGGAGACCCGATGAATGCTATTCTTCCAGACATTGTGTTTTTCAAAGTAAGCTGAAGAGTTTCACAAAAGGGCTGCAAGAAAAATATTGAAATTTCACATGAAGAGAGAGTCCCTACCTCTCTCCACCCACCTGAGTCATGCAAGGCAGCATGGGCTGTAACAAGTAGCAGCATACAAATTGGAGTGTGCTGAATTTAAAGTGTGACTTGACTTCTACCTTTTCTAGATTTTCGTTTGTGGGGTAGTAGAAGGTACACCTGTACTGTCCTCCATGCCCTGTGTAAACGGCAGAAGCCTACAGGGCTTGCAACCATTTCTTGTAAGCATCCTTTTGTTATACAAGTCTTTCCAATTAGTCTATTAAGTATGATACTGAAGCAAGGACTCGGTCAATAATATAGTCAGTGCTGCTTTTTTGGACTCATGGGGGAAAAGCTTGATGGATCATCAATCACTTGTTAATCTTCCTTCTTAAAGCCATCCTGAATACCACTTATCAAGTTTCCTAAGATCTTTAGCCTTCTCCTTTTCTTTCAGGGAAATGGGGTATTTTTAGATTACAGATAGGGTATTACAGAACTGTTCTCTCAGAGGCATGTTCTGAATCAAGCCAAGGGTGAATGTTTTGGGCAGGCTTTGTGTAACTTATAAGCATGTGTGAGTCTAGTTGCATGGCTGTAAGAGTTACCAAGTCACTGGTGAGTTGATCATCTGACCCAATGTCAGCACTGCAGCATGGGGCAGAACTAAGAACAGAACCCCAAGGTTAACATACAATGTTTCAATCAAAGCTTGGGAAAAGAGTAAAAGATGGACCAAGGCTTTACACAGTAAAGCTAGGACACGTGGTATGTAAAAATACCACAGAAAGGCTTGTTTTTAAAGAAAACACTCCCTCCCATACAAATAGCAAAACCTACAATATAAATTCCACATAGGGAGGGAGCCATCACACAAAGGCATTCATTCTCAATTGCGCATCTAAGGATTCTTAGGAACTTCTCAGATCCTGGGCCACAGTTGGTGCCCATTCTTTAGAAATTTCAAATATTTATGTTTCATCATATTCTCTTCTAATGAAAGCATTCTTCAAGGGAATTTGAGTGCCTGCTTTTAACACTGAAGCCATAATAACCTGCCTTAAGGCTGAGTGACTCATTTCAAAAGCCAGTTTAAGACAAACTTTACATAACTGATGATGCTCTCTCTTCCTAGAGAATGTAGAAAAGTCTGAACTGAAGGTAAACTATATTATGTCTCATTTGGTATTTGGTTTTGAATTCCAAAGGTAGGGACTAGAAGGAAGGGCTGTGGGGTTTGTGTTGTCTGCTGATGTTTTCTTTTAAGCTATAATATATTCAGAGGCTATTTTGAGAACTCAATTATGTCCTCTTCAAGGAAATGCAAAACCAATGGAAAACTACAATTGAATTTTTTTTAAACAAGACAAACCACCACTGTTTGGGGATTACAGCATTTAATTTTTAAAAAAATAAGCATAACCATCTCAAGAAGGCTGCTTTCTTTGCTAAACTCAATAATAGCCAGCAAGTTGCATTATGTAGTCAGTTCTTACTAATCTTGATTTTTTTTTTTTTGGTCAGTTGTGGTGCCTGAACTGTGGGCCTGGGCGCTGTCCCTCAGCTCTTCAGCTCAAGGCTAGTGCTTTACCACTTGAGCCACAGTGTCACTTCAGGTTTTTTCTGCTTATGTGGTGCTGAGGAATCAAACCCAGGGCCTTATGCATGCAAGGCAAGCCCTCTACCACTGAACCACCTTCCCAGCCCTAATCTTGATTTTTATAGACATAGGCCTAAAATAAAGGCAAAAAGATAGTAACTCCCCTCCCCCACTATCAAACACATATTAAGATACTGTAAAGCAACTTCAGAAAAGGTAGAACAATTTCAAAATAAGACCATAAGTAAGACCATTTGGCAGCAGATAAAAGAGGGAATGGAAGAATCAGAGGCCTATCTTTATTTCATCTGCAACAACAACAACAACAAAACAACAACAACAAAAAGCATTTAACAAAGCCATGTCCTGCACCAAAGTACTTATATAGTCTTGATTAAGGCCAGTGAGATTTTAATGCTAAGTTGTGCTAGTCATATAGATTGCCAAACTCACAAAAGAACAGTACCTGGATTGCTCCAGTGAAGCCAACAGCCTAATGTATAAAAGTCTTAGAATAGTGTTTTACATATAGTAAGCACTTATAAAATCTTAATTACTAATTTTATCAAGGACACCAAGGCAAACTTCCTGCTTCCGGGTCTAGCCTTAGCAACATAGTAAAGCAACACTGGAGAGGATTTTCAACAGCAGAAGTGCAGGCGTGTGCAAGGGAGCCTGGTTACTCACTCCTCCTGGGGTGGTGGCTGACAGGGGGGAGGGGAGAGAGTGGGGTGGTAGGTGAGGGCAGCACAGGCTGCCTTAGCCACCACTTCCTTGAAGTATTCTTGGATCACTCCAATTCATGCCCTGTTCTTGCCTTGAAGTTTTAATCTGCCTGACCAAATTGAACACTGGCTATTTGTCTTCTATTTTACATAGTTTCAACTTTTTTGGGGAGAAGGGCTTTAAATTTAATCTTTACTCCTCCCATGACCTCAGGAAGCACTTGGTTGCTGTTTGAGGGCAGAGCCCTGGAGCAGAGGAAGAATAATCAGCCGAATCTAGAACAGATATACTGTGTCCATAAGCCACGATTAGCACTGAACAATAACCACCAACTGTACCCTTTATCTTGCTGGGCAGCTCACAGATTGGTAGATAGACGTGGAGAAGTATTTCAGGCTTCTGCAGTTCTGTGTACAGTCCCCTCCCCCTCTTCTTTAAAGGGCCGGCCTTTTGTTTTCTGGGAACAGGAGTGGTCATTGGAGCTCACCTGTGCAGCAGGCGCTCTGCCCACACCTGACATCACCAAGAACCCAAGATGGAAAACAGTGAGCGAGATATTTGAGATTACAAAGTCAGATCTCAGAAAGCCAACTGCTTTTAAGTTGGCAGACTCTTCCTGCTAAGTAAGGAAGGGATTGTTTACAATTACTGGGGGAAAAATATCATGCAAACAGCCAGCTGCTTTGCTGAGAGATTACTCAACGGGTTCATCCCCTGACTCATCAAAGGAACACAGGTGGTCACTGTACTGATTACAGATGAGTGTGGCAGCGCCAGCTCACAGGTGTGAAATGGGAGGAAAAGGGCTGGGGGAGGAGGGTGGGAAGCTAGCTAGCTGATTCTAGCCCAGTCCAAACTTCTGGGGTAAGTTTAAACTATCTCCAAATCTTCCACATTGGAGAGGGAGGAGTCACTAGTTCTGAATTGAGGGAGTCTTTATAAGAATTGGAGGTCTCCATTTCAAGTCCCCTCCTGCTGAACAAAGACAGTAGGCATCTGTTCTGTCTTTCATTGTGTCACAGTGGGTGGGGTCCCTGTTGTACTTTCCTAGAAAGAATATGAACTTTTAGACCGAAATAAAGAACCAGAACAGGGCTGGTGAGTGGCTCAGTGGTAGAGCGCTTGCCTTGCATGCATGCGGTCCTGGGTTCGATTCCTCAGCACCACATAAGCAAAAAGAAAAAAGCTGGAAGTGGCGCTGTAGCTCAAATGGTAGAGTGTTAGCCTTGAGCTGAAGAGCTGAGGGACAGCGCCCAGGCCCAGAGTTCAGGTCCCACGACCGGACCAAAAAAAATAAAAAAAAACCAGAATATTAGATCATAAGGAATGAGGAGGAGGAAGGAAGCTGCTACTCTCCTCCTTCCCCTCAGTTGAAGGAGAATAACTGAGGTACAATCTTCAACTGCAGACCCTAGAAGCCAGTAGGGCGACAACAATTGGCCTTTTAAAGTACTTTTCTGTAAACACATTATCCGATTTTCTGCGAGTAAGGTTTCTTTATTGTGCATCCCAAACTCCTCTGTGAGGACCCTCAAAGAATCTGTCATAGTTGGTGCCAGGCGAATTTGTTTCTCTTCTTTGAGAGACAAAGGGAATTGGATGCACTACAAATCACAAAGGAGAGGTTCTGGAGGTCAAGCTGCCAAAATAACCACGTTTTCTTACAATTTATTACAAGGCTTTATCCAGACATCACTAGTAAATCTCAGTCAGTGGGAACCTGGCTCAGTTTCAGAACTCTCCTAGAAGTCAATTTAAACACGTAGGGGATAGTGATTTTGGCAGTATCAACTCACTCTGGATCCATTTATTTTTTTGTTTTGTTTGTTGCCTTCCTGGTTTCAGCCATTAAATGGCCAGTCTCAGGGACTCAATTGTGCAAGTCCAGGGCTGACTGATTCCAGGCCACATAGTTTACTCGTTGACACCTTTTGTGATCTTAGATTCTTCCTGGGACCGACAAAGAGCTCAGGTGAGACCGAAAGGTCCCAAGGTCTTTCTCCAGCTGGCAGGACCCACTCTGGAGAAAGGAGTACGCTCACCACGCAGTGCTGGAAAAGGGCCACCGAGGAAACAGGTGCAAAGGCTGGGCTATCCCCAGAGCAGAGAGAGCTTGTGGGGTTTGGCCCCCTGGCAGCCCCCAGGCCCTGCCACCACCACCCCACAAAGGCAGCCCTTCAAGGCAGCTGCGCCAGGCACCATCGGCTGCCCCCCGCCCCCCAGCACTCAAGTTCCCGGCCCACTCTGCCGTCACCTGCCCGGGCGTGGGGAGAGCCTGTGGGCGCGCAGACCCACATCCAGGCTCGTCACCCGGCGTGTGGCTGGCGTGCCTGGGCGCTCCGTGCAGTCCCCGCCGGGCCGTGCAAGGCGTACAGCCCACTCGCCTGCGCCCACGGAAGCACCGACTGCCGCGTGACTCAACTCGAGTGTCCAAAGACAGGGCGCCCCAGAGTGGCGTGCTTAAGTGTGAACGGCGGGGGGATAAGAGCCACGATTGCACATGGTCAGAGGAAGGGTCTGGAAGGGTCTGGGTCTGTGTCCATCTGGAGGCACTGACCCTGACCAATAATGAGAGAGAACGAATCCCGCGGCTCCCGTCCTGCAGAAATCTGCGCGACTCACTCCCGTCCGCGGGGGTCCGCGGCCTCCTGCCCACCCTGTCCCAGGCCCGCGTGTCCTCATTCACCGGCCCTGCCCTGCGGGGGGGGCACCCCCGGATCGAGCCCGGTGGGACTGGCCTGGCTGGAGGTCGGGGATGGCCCCTCACCTGCTGAGATCGCTCACGAAGCTGCCGCTCTTCTCATCCAGGAAGCGCTTCCAGCCGTCCGCCGTCTTCACCCAGCTTTGCCCCGGGGACCGCCAGTCCTGTCCGAGGAAGGGCATGGCGCCGGGAGCAGACGCGGTCGCGGACGGACTGACAGACAGGCAGCACCGGCCTGACGGCCTGGGAACGAGCGCCGAGTGCGCAGCCCTAGGGCCCCGCCGTGGGGGCGCAGCCGGGAGCTGGTGCGGAGGGCTGGGCGCCTGGCGCGGCCGAGCGGGCGCCCTCCGTGATCGGGCGGAGCGCGGGCGCTGGGGGCGGGCGGGCGTGGGGTGTTCACCGTCGGGCTCCAGAAAGTGCAGCCCGGCGGTGCCCGCCCCGTATTTATCCCAGCCGCGCTGGCCCGGCTCTTTGTTGCCGGAAGAGCCTCAACGCTGAGCCCGCCCCCGGCCCGGAGGCCACGTGGCTTTGTTTATGGGCTCGGCTTGTTTTCCCGGGCGCAGGGGGCGGGGGGCGGGGGGCGGAGGAGGGGGGCTCCCGCTCCTTTCCCCAGTTGCACAGCTGCGCGCGCCCGTGGGAACTTGAAGCCACGCGGCCCGGCCAGGTCTCCCACCGCCCCTCAGTCCCCTGGCCCCTCGGTGCCCCCTCTGCACCCCCTCCTCCGGCCCCCCCCCCTTTACGCCCCCTCTGCCCTCCCTGCGGCGGCGCAGAGAGCCAGTCTGCGGAGTGGAGCCCGGCCCTCCGGTGGCTGTTGGGGTGGTACCCGGGGAGGGGGGGGCGGGGAGGGCGTTGTTCTCTCCTTGTCTAGATCACCACTGGGCAGACTGGGCAGATGGGGTGGAGGACTGACCACCAGTCCCTGGCATCCCCTAAACCAGGCCCGTGCGTCTTCTCCTGGGCCAGGCTAGGGGGCGCATTCTCCTGATCTGATCAGGGTGTCAGGGTTGGAGTGTGTGTGTGTGTGTGTGTGTGTGTGTCTCCCTTCTCCATTGGCAAAGGAAGGGGTAAGGGGCTTTGGGGGGACCCAGGAGGAGCTGGCTCCTGGGACAGCCCCCTCCCCCCATTTTACCTAGGCACCGGCCAGGGTTGTAGGAACCTGGCCCTGTTCACTGTCTGAACCCTGCTCCAAGGGTGGGGGCTGCGTGTCTGTTCTGAGGACGCCCCATGTTCTCCTCTGGTTCCTCCCCCTGGGCATCTCCGCCTGTGGCTAATGAGTCCTCTGGGGAATTTTGTTGTAAAGTTGGTGAAGTAAAGAGAGAAGGGCCCAGGATGCCCGCCAGCTGACTGCCTTGCACTGTCGTGCCCCAGGGCCGCGTACAGGCCCTCACTCACCTTAGCGATGAACCTAACCAAAGTGAGAGTCACCCTGATTTCCAGATGAAGCCACTGAAGGCCCAGAGGGAGATCAAGCTTCTCAACTCTGGGTACAGTCTAAAAAGATCCTGCTTGCGTTTACATGTGTGTCAGTGTGAGTACTGGGACTTGAACTCAGAGCCAAGGTGCTGTCTCTTAGCTTTTTGGCCCAAGGCTGGTACTCTACCACTTGAGGCAGAGCTCCATTTTTGGCTTTTTAGTGGTTAATTGGAGGTAAAAGTCTTAGGGACTTTCTTGCCTATGCTGGCCTTGAGTCACAATACTTAGATCTCAGCTTCTTGAGTGGTTAGGATTATAGGCTTAAGCTACTAGTACTTGGATTTTTTTCTTTTTTTTTTTAATAACTTTTTATTGAGATTAGGTGATTACATAAATTTCACATATTTCACTGTATTGTGGAATAGTAATACTTAGTTAAAGTCACAAATACATATTAACTTTCACAAGGTAAATTGTCACTATCATGATCTATAAAGTTTGTGAATTCTATGAGCTTTGACTATTTATTATTTAAATAAAAATCTATCCCTCCCTGCAGAATGATGCTCCAGGAAAATTGGTCCTCTCAGCTCAGAGTTGGCCTTCAGTATTTCTTGTGTGAGTAAATGAATGTAGGGAGGAAGGGATAGCATCAAGAGGGCTCCTGGCCTTTCATCACATCTGGTTAGCATACTTTACAGCCTGATCCATTGGGTAATTGGATGGCACAATTCATTAGCTAGTGCTCAAGATATTAGTTTCTGGCTCTAGTTTTCATATTTTCATTCCTGTAGCCACTGGCAGCTTCTCTCCTATCTTCTGGAAGGATCTCAAAGGCAGAATAGGCATAAGAACCTGGGTCCCCTGTGTGGGAAGGAGGAAAAAGATTTTTGGTGCTTGAACTCTAGACCTGAGCGCTGTCCCTGAGCTCTTCAGCTCAAGGCTAGTATTCTACCACTTTGAGCCATAGTGCTACTTCTGGTTTTCTGGTGGTTAATTGGAGATAAGTGTCTCACAGACTTTCCTACCTGGGCCGGTTTTGAACTTAGATCCTTAAATCTCAGCCTCCTGGGTAGCTAGGATTACAAGCATGAGCCACTGGTGCCCGGCTTAAGAAGATGTTTTTAATAAAGTCTGTTTTCAAGTAGCCAAGGTTTTCTGATTTAGGTTTCCCACCATAAATAATTTATTACTGTAGCAATAGTAAAAATGGCTGTAAAAACAAGGCCAAAGATCCCAAACAAATATTCGGCACTGCAATCATTGTAAGAGATGAGCCAATGTTGGTTCTTCTGGACTTGGTTGGAGCAAATTGGTATTGACAAGGAAGCACAATTAAGGGATGTGGTTATTAAAGATGAATGCTTAGTTATGAGCCAGGAAACTACTTCCCTGGAGAAACCGCAGAGGGCTAAGAGGTAGAAGATTTGATTTTTAATTCTGCTAGAGCAGCATATAGCTTACCCCAACTTGAATGAATAATACCACACAATAATACTCTTATTTACTCAGCTGTCAAGAACAAATGGTGCTAACCATGCCTACCTTTTCAGGAGTATTTAGAAAGTATGGTAGATTGGATTACTAGTACTGATCCTTCCCTTCTTTGTAATATTGTTATTTGCATCCATACCCTTATCATGACCTCATGGTGGGTCATGTATACTTTTCTAATTTTTAACCACGTGACTTGCTTTGGCCAATGGGATGCCAGTGCATAGATGTGACTAGAGTATGACGTATGTACTAATCTGGCTGGTTTGACCTCTTGGGTTTCTACCAGTTCTGTGAAGTAGCCACAACTCTGAATTGCTTGAATCCTAGGATTTGACACATGGAACAGGTTCTTCAATTGTCCCACAGATGTATGAGGAAGAAGTGAATAATTCGGATTGAATGTTGCTGAAGTTATTTTGGTCTTTAAATTTTTTTTAAATTTATTTTTATTGTGAAAATACCATACAGAGGGTTTACAATTACACGGGCAAGGTAATGAGTACATTTCTTATCAAGCATTGTTGCCTCCAGGTCTTTCTGTTATACAGTGTTATTGTATCAGGAGTTGACCGCTGCAAAAGGTTGAGTAATTGGAACTTGATGAAAACTTTTTAATTTCTAAAATCCAAATGGAAGTAGGAAGGAACATTTTTTTTCTTGGTCCTTGTCTTTTTGAGATCAGCAGAACTGATCTCAGGAGGCCTCAGTGTTTGTCTTGAGTCCTTCAACTTTCTCTGCCTTAAAAAAAGTATGGCAATTGTATTTTAGACTTCTAGAGTATGGCCTATGGCTGTAGATTTCCTCCATCATGTATGAGTTCACCCTTTCTCAAACACATGGTTTCACCTAGGAAGCTCTGCAGTGCTGGCTCCCACGGGATAGAGTATGTACTGGGTCAGTGAGCTTCACATCAGAGGTTGGCTTAACTTTGCAAAGACCTTGATGGCACGCCTCATGGGAGCTGAGCGGTTTCCAATCACTAAAGGCAAAGTATCAGTGTGAGAGCTGTGGGCTGAAGATTCAGAAGTAGATGGATATTGGAACATTCCAGGAGGCTCATCTTGTCCTGTAATGATGATGTGAGTATGATGTAGTTCCGCTCCACTTGTATGGGTCACCATGCAGCCCTCTAAAACAGTCTGCCCAGATTGCATGCTGGGTATTTGATTTGTCACTTGTGCTTAGACACTGTCTCAGCAGGTACCACCGTACCTGGCATGGTACATAACATATGGCAAACAACCAGTAAATGAGGGCTGTTGGCTTGACCTGGAAGGCTATCAGTCCTGTGTTTTCCCTTATTGACATTTTACTGGGGACTTTGGCATGATGGGAGCTTTAGTCCTGCCCCTACAGCTACGTTCATCACAGAGGTACCTTACTAGTTGATGAGGCAATATGGTCAGAAGTTGGCATCTTAGAAAAACCAGGTGACTTGTCCATGATGGAATGAGCCAAAGACACTGTGCCAAGTGCGTTGCAAACCATCCTGTGTAACCCCACAGACTACTTCACAGAGAAGAGATTTAGGCTTAGAAGAATTAACTGGCTGGCTTGAGATCACCCAGTATGTATGAAATGGAACTCAAACAGAAACCCAGTTCTCCCTCTGGCATTAGATTGCATTAGATTTGATTATGGTTCCCCAGTTAAAAATCTGTGTGAATCTGGGCAAGACACTATCTTCATATGGAAAATAATAGTATCTATGTTGACCTATTTCAGAGAATATTATGATGATTTAGTAAAAGAATATAAGTGCTTAAAACAATGCTACCCCCAGCCATAGTTCATTCTTTCTTTTCCTTCCCTTCCTTCCTTCCTTCCTTCCTTCCTTCCTTCCTTTCTTTCTTTCTTTCTTTCTTTCTTTCTTTCTTTCTTTCTTTCTTTCTTTCTTTCATTCTTTCTTTCTTTCTTTCTTTTTTGTCAGTCATGGGGCTTGAACTCTGGTCTTGGACACTGTCCCTGAGCTCTTCTGCTCAAGGTGAGTGCTTTACCATTTGAGCCACAGGGCCACTTCTGGTTTTCTGGTGGATAATTGGAAAAGAGTCTCACAGACTTTCCTCCCAGGCTGTCTTTGAACTGTGATCCTCAGATCTCAGCCTCCTGAGTAGCTAGGATTACAGACATGAGCCACTGGCGCTACTTTCTTTTTGCAAAGTTCACATCTCCATTCCCCCCTCCCCACCCTTGGTTAAGTCCATATCCATCTTCTCCTGCCATGGGATGTTTTGTTGCTTCCCAAAGTACATAGCATAGCTCACTCAGCTTACTTCTAGACCTGGGAAAAGTGTCTATTGCAGTAAAAGCATAGTGAAATGATAGCTTGCTCAGCATTAGTTACTAATTATTGCCTTTGAACTATGGAAACGGTCCTTATTCTGTAGCACATGTAGGAGACAGCTTGTTTTTCAAAGGCACACGTGGCATGCATTTAGTCTGTTTCCTCCTAGG